CTCCAGCTGTCCCCAATGACTTTCTCCTTCCTAAATTGGTCATGTTCTAGCACTTGCGGGCTTTAACATGCTGTTTCTCTTGCCTAGATTCTACTCCCATTTTTGCCTGGCTACTTTTTATTTTTCCCCTAGAGCTTGGCTTCAATGTCACATCCTGTAAAAAGCCTCTAATTCTTTCAAAACTAGGTTAGATGCCTCCATTATGTGCCCCTTTTATGGAGTACATAAAAGTGAAATTGCATCATGATTGCCTGTTGAATTGTCTTTGTTCCCTACTAAACTATAAACTTTACTAGGACAGGGAATGTTGGGCATATTCACCAGCGTGTCCAAGACACCTAGCACAGTGCCTGGCCTATTATTTATCAAGAAACACATCTTTTACTATGCCACTGCTATTTACCAAGAGCTGTTCTTCTTTGCCGCTTGATCCTACGCTGCTTTAGGGCAGGACCAAATCCTATTTGTGTGCCATAGGCAGCACTTTGTGTTAAATGAGTTTGTTTCATCAACTACCTTCAGAAGCATTATTGCACCTGATCTTTTAAAAAAATATATGAGTATACATTAAAAAATTTATATTAGATGAGACTATGCAATTAATTTCCAAAATGTGCTATAAAACATACAACTGAGTGAGTAATTGCCCATGGAGTATCATCTGAAGTTTAGAAGAAAAAGCACTAAAGCATTTGCTTAGGGCCAGGTGGGCATGGGTCTAAATTCAAACTCTACTGTTAGCAGAAAGGGGAACCAATCCAGACTGCCAGAGAGGGTTCTTGGATCTTGCACAAGAAAGAATTTAGGGCAACTTCACAAGTAAAGTGAATGCAAATTTATTAAGAAAGTAGGCTGGGCATGGTGGCTGCTCACGCCTGTAATCCCAGCACTTTGAGAGGCTAAGGCAGGCAGATCACAAGGGTCAGAAGTTTGAGACCAGTCTGGCCAACATGGTGAAACCCCCATCTCTACTAAAAATACCTAAATTAGCTGGGTGTGGTGGTACACACCTATAATCCCAGCTACTCAGGAGGCTGAGGCAGGAGAATCACCTGAATGCAGGCAGTGGAGGTTGCAGTGAGCTGAGACAGTGCCATTGCACTCCAGCCTGCAGGGGGCAGAGTGAGACTTTGCTTCAGGGGGAAAAAGAGGAAAGGAATAAAACAATGACCGCTCTATAGGCAGAGCAGCAGCATGGACCACTCAGTTGCTTATACTTATTGTTACTTCTTCATTATATGCTAAATAAAAGTTGGATTATTCACGAGTTTTCTCAGAAAGGGGTGGGCAATTCCCAGAACTGAGGGTTCCTCCCCTTTTTACACCATATAGAGTAACTTCCTGATGTTGCCATGGCATTTGTAAACTGTCATGGTGCTGGTGGGAGTGTCTTTTTGCATGCTAATACATTATAATTAGCATATATTGGGCAATGAGGGCACCAGAGGTCACTGTTGCAGTCTTGGTTTTGGTGAATTTTGACCGGCTTCTTTTTGCAGTCTGTTTTATGCGTAAGGTCTTTAGGACCTCTATATGCTGCCCTCCTATCTCATCCTGTGACTTAGAATGCCTAACCTCTTGGGAATGCAGCCCAGTAGGTCTCAGCCTCTTTTTACCCAGCCCCTACTCAAGATGGAGTAGCTCTGGTTCAAACGCTTCTGACGCTAGCACTTAGTAACTCTGTGTTTTTGGACATGTCACTTTCCTTCTCTGAGTCTTGGTTTCCTGATCTGTAAAATGAGAATATTTTATATACCTAATAATGCCCACCTTGCAAGGCTTTACAAAGATTAAAGCTTTATGAAAATAACTGCCATAGTACCTGGTACAAGGTAGTTGCTCTATGAATGTTAAGTTTCATCTTTGATTCTGACAATGGTGACATTACTGAAACATTTTTGGATTTCTTTGTTGAGATACTTTTCAGAGCTTGCTATAGATCATCAGACTATCTCAATGGGAGAAATCTTTTATCTTTGAGAATGTGTTTGATTTTTAGGAATAGTTGGGTTCAGAGAGCAAGATCAAGATGTTTAATACCATTTTTGATATTAAGCAAAGCTACGTATGATCATAATGAGATTTTTCTTTTGTAATATCAAAACTGGTACGTATTCTGGCACTCTCACAGGTGGCATTGACAGGATATTCCATTTGGCACATTAAATTCAAGGAATTAACTATCAAAATCTTTTGATTTTGAATAGCATTCTGATAAATTAAGCAGAATTTATAAACTCAGGGAGCTGAAATCTTTAATAATACATTTAATCACAAGCTAACAATCAGAACTTTACTTCTGGCAACAAAGAACTTAGGGAAAAAAATGATCTTACTCATTTTAGGTGCTACCTAAAGTGCTACCCCATATTCTTGTGCATAGTGGGGGCTATTGTCTTTTTAGCTAGGTCCATGGAAATCAGTGTGGCTGAGCTGTGGCAAGGGTGATGTTCTTTTCTAATGACCCAGAGGAGCCTGTTGCCTTTCAGAGATCTGTCCCGCGTGGTAGAGGAGGAGCCGGGACATGGGCAGGATATAGAGATGGGATTGCAGCTTTTACAGAAGCATAGGGGGCTTGTGCAGAAAAATTCATAGGGCGAGTTTATAGGAGAGATTGGACACACAAGGTTATCAGTCTGCTAAAGGAAAGCAGTGGCCGCAGGAGCACAGTTGGGAGAGGCTGGAAGCTGCATTCCCAGGGCCCTGTGCAACCTGGACTGGGGGTCAGCACAGTACAGGGGGAGGGCCAGTGACAATGCCCAGGTTACTATGAGGAACCTCGTATTATTTTGTTATCCAGAGGTTACTGTGGGTTCATTGTTTTGCCTCTTCATTGTATATAAGGTCATAAATGCAAATTATTGAGTAAGTTATAAGGAGTTAGTGACATGTTAATTATTTTCAAGATATTTTGCTAGTTCGCACCCTTAATTTACTTCATCTTCTAGTATATTTTTGTTGTTGTTACTGATGTTAGCACGATTCAGTGAGAGCATTTGATGGGGAGGGACGCAAGAAGAAAAGTAAAACATGAATATGTGTTATTTTCTGTGGGGAGTCATATAAAAAAACCATGAATATTTGTGAATCCTGGGTGTGAGGGAGAGAAGGTTGCACAATGCCCTTTGCCACCTGGGCACAGGGGAGCAGAGTCACTTCAGCCAATGGGCCTGGGCTGACTTGTGCTGGATTTCACAAGGGATGAGTCTCCTGAAAATGTTTGTTATCGAACAGCATCAGCTTTTGGGGTATTGATGTCATTATAATTTCAGTAAAATATGGTTCTTTGGTTTTTTGTTTTATTTTGTTTTGTTTTTTGAGACAGAGTCTCACTCTGTAGCCCAGGCTGGCGCGCAGTGGCACGATCTCGGCTCACCGCAATCTCCGTCTTCCAGGTTCGAGGGATTCTTCTGCCTCAGCCTTTTGAGTAGTTGGGATTACAGGCATGCGCCAGGCTAATTTTGTATTTTTAGTAGACATGGGGCCTCACCATGTTGGCCAGGCTGGTCACGAACTCCTGACCTTAAGTGATCTGCCTGCCTCAGCCTCCCAAAGTGTTAAGATCACAGGCATGAGCCACCATGTCTGGCTGGTTCTTAGGTTTTAGAGTCACAGAATCAATACTTCCCTGTGGATAATGTTCTCTTAGTGAAGCCGCCTGCTTTGTGGAATTCAGGGGCTGTTCTGCAGCCTGGTTATGGAATCACTGAGCCAGCAGCCTTTGACAGCAACTCTGGCAAAAAGCAAAGCTTACTTATTCCTTTTCATTCACTGTAAATGTCAAAATCCCATTTGAATTACTGTGAAAATGCAAAATTTAAAATTTTCAATTTTTTTTTAAAAAGTCTAGAAAGAATACAAACAAAATTACCTTTTTTTTTTTTTTAGGTTTTCTTATAAATTGGTTATTGTTCATCTTTTCTAGGTATTTGATTTCTTTACTGTTGTTAACCAAGTTGAACTTACTATCTTAGCAATGTCAGCAATGTGCATTAGCACAAACTCTTAGATGAAGATTCTGGAGCCCGTAGGTGACTGGAGCCATTTAAAGTGCTTTTATGGTATAAACATATTTTAGAGACCTTGATGTTAAATAGGTGATCATATTCTGACACAATGCTTTCATTTTTGGAAGCTAAAATTTTGCCTTATGACAAAATTGTCCGTTTATGATCTTATTTAGTGTCTGACGGTGATTTAAAAAAACAAGTGATTTAGATAAAACAGTAGAAAAAAACTAAACATCAAATTTACTTGTGGCAAATGACCTAATTTCCACTGGGTAAGAAAAATGCAGGATATGTATGTTAGTTTTCTATTGTTACCTTAACAAATTACCACAAACTTAGTGGTTCACAGATTCTTGTCTTGCGTTCTGTGAATTGGGAGTCCAAAACAGCTCTCACTGGGCTAAGACAGTGTGGCAGGGGCTGTGTTCCTTCTGGAGGCTCTAGCGGAGAATTGTTTTGCTTTCCTGCTTCTGGAGGCTACCACATTCCTTGACTCGCTTCAGCGCCCTCTTCCACCTTCAGAGGTGGCAAGGTTGTATTTTTCTGACCATTCTTCCATAATCACATCTGCCTCTGATCACAATTGGGAAACTTTCTCTGTTTTGGGGCCTTTGTGGTTAGGTTGGGTCCGTCTGGATGATCCAGGACAGTCTCCCCATCTCAGGTCCCTAAATTTAATCATGTCCATAAAAATCCCTTTTCCCATGTAAAGTAGCATATCCTCAAGTTCTGAGGATTAGGATGTGGAAAATTTGGGGGAATGGGGCATTATTCTGGTTACCATAATATGAAAATATTTAATACAAACTTTTATTCAGAGGATGTATTTTTCAAATGTCCCCATAACTTGTTATCAGGTTTTTAGGAAACTTTCACTCGGGTGTTTTTAGAGAAGAGGTGTATATATTAAAAAATTTTAAAACTCACAGATTTGGTTTGGATCATAATCTACTAAAGCTAATGATTATTCTCTTTTGCTTACTTTGATAGTGATAACCTGCTTAGGAGAGCAGCCTGTCAAGAAGCTCAGGTAATACTATTTAATGTGATAAAATTAAACCCCTCCTTATCTTCATTGTGCAGAAAAGCTGAGCTCTTTAGGGGACTTTCAGTGTCTTGCATCTGTGCAGTTTGGCTGTTTTTTTAGCACTATCAGGATGAATCATGCTGGGAGCCAACTCTGAGTAGAACTCCAGGAAGTTAACCATCTGGCAAAGAGCAGTTCTGACGCCCACCCCTGTAGACTGTTTGTTTCTGGATTGGTCCCAAGAACACAGAGCTGGACTGGTAGAAGCTCTGGGAATTTGTTTGTGTCTGCAGTTGTCTTTGTAGATCTGGCTAACCCTTGAATCATTCCTGATCTGAATAACCCCCAAGTATATCAGTTCAGAACAAGTGTTACCTCTAAAAGTCCAATCTTCTTAAAATTGTTGATTTGTATTTTTAAAGCCTATCTCCAGGCTCAACTGAGCCATATCGTGTGCACTCTTATCCTAATTCCATGAGATTTTACTTAAATGTTCACTTATATGGCTAATTAATTATAGCTGGATTATAAATCCTTTCAAATTTAAGACCCCCATTTTTGTCCCCCATTGCAAAAATGTACATTCTGCTTTGCAGTTGAAATTCTGTGACTGAGTTGCCTTTTTGTTTTGTATCATTTGAACTTATGATGTCAGAAATACCAAAATAGAAACATGAAAATCAAAAGCGGCAAAGATATGAAGCATTTAGTAGAAGTAAGTGGCAGACCTCCTGTTTGTTTCTGAAATGTTTTCATGGATGACAGTGACAATAGATGCTATAAATTAATTCCTCTCTTTAGCAATTGTTATCTAGCTGTTCTAAATCTGTGTTTTAAGAATTTGATTACTTTTTTGTTTAAATGTGTTATCTCTCATATGGCTCTAAGTTGTTTTAGAAATCAGTTCAAATAAACTTTAATATTAAATTAAAGGTGATCCCTGTCCCAAGCCAGTCATTACCAACTGGAAAATCCTCCTGGGAGGGAAACCCGTTCTTTCTCTCTTTAAGGAAGAGTAGGCCTGTGTGATTGTAGGACCCTCCCTTTCTTGTTGAAGGCAAATGCTTCCACCTCTGTTCTGAGTTCTGTCTCCTCATACTTTTTCAGAGATGATGTTCCTTTAGTGATTTTCTCCTTCTCCTCTATTTCTTTCTTTCTGCTATTCTAATTCTCCACTTCCCCCACATATTAAATTCCTTCCATATCACAAATGGAAGTGGATTTGCCCTTAAAGCCTCTGCTGGCTAATTTTCCTATCTGTGTTCTTCCCTTAACAGTCAAATTCTTAAAAAAATATGATTTTTAAAAACAAATCTCACATGAACTTAACGTAGTCTCGTGTAAACTCCTTAGCCTACTGAATCTGAGACTTGAGTTGCAAGTAGGTACAAACTTTAGACGCTAAGAAATCAGGGCAAGGAGGAATAATCTTACTAGCATAGGTATGGAGTCTGGTAGGCAAGAGAGCCTGGTTAGTGATGTCGTTTCTGCCTGATTCCAGAAATAGTATAGATAGAAAAAGAAAGAATTACAATATTTGGAGATTTAACAGCAAAACATTAAGGTCTAAGTAAGAATGAAAACAGAATAGAAATTATAATATACCAGAAACTTCTTACAAAGATACAGCCTTTTTCTCTGCTTCAGAAAAAAAAATTAATTTTGTTTTTAAAGCAAGCAATAGACAATGGTAAGAAAGGCTCCAAAATGAACTGTCAGGGAGGTGGCAGATTTAGAGTAAGTTATTCAATAAAAAATCTTTGCGGCTGGGCACAGTGGCTCATGCTTATAATCCCAGCACTTTGGGAGGCCAAGGAGGGTGAATCACAAAGTCAGGAGTTAGGATCAGTCTGGCCAAGATGGTGAAACCCCGCATCTACTAAAAATATAAAAAAACTAGCTGGGCACAGTGGTGGGCACATGTAATCCCTTCTACTCAGGAGGCTGAGGGAGGAGAATCACTTGAACCAGGAGGCAGAGGTTGCAGTGAGCCAAGATCCAGCCTGGGTGACAGAGAGAGACTCCATCTCAAAAAAAAAAAAAAAAAAAAACTTTGCATAATCTTTTTTCCTCCTGTCTTTACTTTGTACTTCCATACTAGAATTCTGCTTTCTTGGCCCAGACCTGCTCTCACCTTTGAAGACCCCAATTTTTGCCCATTTTGGTACTTTCGTTTTCTTATTCTTTTTTTTTTTTTTTTTTGAGACGGAGTTTCGCTCTTGTTACCCAGGCTGGAGTGCAATGGCGTGATCTCGGCTCACCGCAACCTCCACCTCCTGGGTTCAGGCAATTCTCCTGCCTCAGCCTCCTGAGTAGCCGGGACTACAGGCACACGCCACCATGCCCAGCTAATTTTTTGTAGTTTTAGTAGAGACGGGGTTTCACCATGTTGACCAGGATGGTCTCGATCTCTTGACCTCGTGATCCACCCGCCTCAGCCTCCCAAAGTGCTGGGATTACAGGCGTGAGCCACCGCGCCTGGCTCTTATTCTTTTTGTTGACCATCGTTTCCAATTCAGACATAGTAACAAGAGTTCCCATTCATTTCTCATTTGGACTCCTCACATCTAGTCCTCTGCCTCTTAATTCTCATCCTTGATCCTCTCTTTAGAGCTTAGAGAGTAAAAGTTTTGGCTTTGGAATTAGAAGATGTATATTCCAGGCTTGTAATTTATCAACTCTGTAACTTTCAGGAACTTAATCTTCCTGATTCTGGACATTCTAATCTGGAAAACTAAGATTATTTCATACCACCTTGGTTTCTGAGCACTAAGAATAATGTGTGTAAAAAATGTCAAATAAAAGGTGCTTGGTATATATTAGTTACATTTCTTTTCCCCTGCCAGTTGCTGCTATTCAGTTATCATACAGGGTTGCAAAGAAGAGAAGGCAAATAGAGTGTTAGGTTTATTTTGTATGTGTATAAATACATGACGATTAACTGGTAACACAAAGATTCCTCATGAACAAGTTTTAGTGATGAGTTGGAGAGAATATTGTACTCTGAAAACTAAAGACACGAAGATTAAGCTTCTCTCCTGACAGACAATGGCCTTACTAATTATATGTTTATAATAAACCTAGCCATATCTTATACAGAAAATAAATATTTGCCTCTAGTAGATAAAGCAGGATTTTTTATTCCAATACAAAATAGAGCTTATTGTCATTAAATAATGCTACTTTTTTGTTGTTGTTGATAGTGTTTTTGTTAATATGAGATCATGAAAGAACATTTTTCCCCCAAGGGAAGATACCATATGTGCTGTAAGTAAATTTTTTTGGAATGAAAGAATACATGTGACATTAAAATAACTGAACTTTTACTGAAAACTTTGCTTTTTTCTTTTTTAGGTGTTTGGCAATCAGCTCATTCCTCCCAATGCACAAGTGAAGAAAGCAACTGTTTTTCTCAATCCTGCAGCTTGCAAAGGGTAGTTCCGTTTGTGACTTGTTAGATACTTGGTTTTTCAAAGGGGGAAAGACATCACAGACTATCAGGCAGCTAGTGAGATAATGTGGAATTGGAAGAGCTAGGTTTAGTACTCTTCTAGCAATAGGATTCATTTGTAATGTAGAAATAACAGTTAAATGAGAAATAACTATAAAGCTAATGGATGCTTAGCAAACTTGTCTCATTGAAGCTTAATAATCATTCCAGGATTAACACCTACAAAGATGTCTTATTTGCTTGGAAGTAGTCCCCCCGGGAGTGACTGCTATACTGCTGGGGTGTAAATCATTAGGCCATCTTTGTCCACAGGATGTTCAGAGATGGCCAAGAATACTGCGGGCTTGGGAGATCAGAAACGTTCTTTCCAAAAGGGATGATCCTTGAGCTAGGCCCGAGAGGAAGCAGGCAGGAGAAGGCCACTCATTCTCAACCGAGGAAATGGTCCATGGGGCAGGGGCCTGGAGACAGGAGTGACCTAGTTATGGCTTTGTTATGACACAGGACAGTCTGTAACTGGTCTGGCTGGCCTGGGAAGGTCAGGTGAGGAAATTGTGGGAATTAAGGTGTGAAGAATAGTTGAGAGTGGGTATATAATGATTTGATCATGGCAGTTTGTTGATTATATGAATGAACCACACTAAAAGGCGGGGAGGCTATATGCAGGGGTGGGGAGTGGGTGTGTGGGGACTCAAAGTCTGTTAAGAAAAAATAAATAGGCAAAACATTTTTTTTTACAATGTTAGATGCAACTGTCATTCAGTTGGAAACGTGAATACGAAGACCTTGATGGCTTTAGAATAAGTAATTAATAATTTATTTTGAAAAAATAGAATTAAAGGATTTAGTGTTAAAAAATAATATCTTTTAATGTCCCTAATGTCCAGAACAATTCTTTTTTGCTTTTTGGGAATCAGAAAATTAGTAATTTGGGTGCAGTGGCTCATGCATATAATCACAGCGCTTTGGGAGCCCGAGGTGGGCAGATCACTTGAGCCCAGGAGTTTGAGACCAGCCTGGGTAACGTGGTGAAACTCTGTCTCTACAAAAATAGAAAAATTAGCTGGAAAAAATTCAAAAATTAGCCAGATGTTGTAGCATTTACCTGTATTTGTAGCTATTAGGGAGGTTGAGGTGGGAAGATCACCTAAGCCTGGGAGGTCGAGGCTGCAGTGAGCCATGATTGCACAACTGCAGTCTAGCCTGGGCGATAGAGTGAGACCCTGTCTCCAAAAAAAAAAAGGAAATTAGTAGATATGTACTAAATTGGATTCTATAAGATCGAAGTTAAATGACATTAAGGGAATAAGAACAACAACAAGAAGCTTTGGGCTGGATTATAAGTGATAAGCATAATATTGTCGAGTAAAACACAGGGTATCTGACATCAGTTTTTCTGTTCATTTCTTGGGAGGCAGTGTGTGTGACTTCATAGACAGGAGGACACATCCTGCTTTATTTCTTTGTAATTCAGCTGTTTAATTCGGATTGTCTAAACAGACTATTCTGCCTAACTGAATCATATCTACTGGGTTTTGTTAGAGCAGCTTCCCTCCCCCATAAATATATCAGTGATAATGCTTATTGATCATTTTTGTTTAATATCAATACTAAATCATACCAACAAATCAACAAGTCCTAATATAACACAGTCAAAATACCCAAGATAATTAAATTGTCAATGGTGGCCTGTGGCTGAAGATAACAGAGAACTCAGCATGGGTATGGGAGTTTGAGGAATCTGGTCTGTTTACTGTGTTGCTGCTTACTAGCCCTGTTATATTGTGGGAGTTAATTTACTTCTGAAATCCCCAATTTACTCATCTGTAAAATCAGAAAGTCAAAAGTACATACTTTAAAAATGATTATGTGGAATAGGGAACTTTGGAATTAAATGAGATAATGCTTATTAGGCACTATTTCCATTTCATAAACTGCTCAATTGTTACTCTTTACCATGGGCTAGTTTTAGAGACCTAATAAATTAACAACTTGCTAATTTCTGATGAAACTTATGCCAATTTGTTTAAGCAATAACCAGTTATTTTGAATTCCTGCTTCTAAGAAGTATCTACATTTTTAAAATTAATAAGCACATTTTTACAAGCAATTTTAGGTTCTTTTTACATGTAAATGTATTTGCATTTTTAAAAGTAGATTCTTGTGTAGAACTATAATACCTTTATATAAAGGTAAGCTAAAATACTGCCATTGAAGGAAAGTCTCTTCTTAAGGCGTTGTCCCCTTTAACAAGGTGAATCCCTGCGTGCTTCTAGGAAAGCCTGGCATCCCTTTTTTTTTTTTTTTTTTAAAGCTTTCACTATTTAATTGCACTATTTTTGTCATCATGGCTCTGCCCTGACACATAATTTATAATTTATCATGCAGCTATTTCATTATGTAGTACTTGCTTAAAACTATATAAGAGCTTTAAGAAATAAGATAACTGTGTGTTTAGCATTAATAAATAATACATAAAAGAGTAATTATTTTTTGTGTGTGCCTGAGCCTGGAAGTTGCTGTAAGTACCTAAGGTTTTTATTTAGCCTTGGTGCTATCTCGCCCTTAATTATATAATAAATAATGTATTTCTTACTAGTAACACTTGCATTTCAATCTTTTTTATAGAACATTAGAAGGAAAAAAGTCTTCACCTTTATTTTAGAGGTTTTCTGAACTTAGAACATCATACAAAGATGTGAATAAAGACCCAAATGTTCTAACCTGATTTCTTAAACTAACTCAGCAGAGGTCACAGATTTGTGATTTATATGGTAGATTGAGACTTCTTCATAATTTTGCTTTTAGGAAATAGATCTGATCCACTTCCAACTGATCCTTTCATATCAATCTAGTAATGAAAGCAACCCTGGAAGGAGAACTGTTTGCAGTATCACTAGCTCAGCCCTTTAATGTTGGGTTAACTCCAGAAATGGTGAGCTGGAAAGGAGAAATTTTCATTCACCATTTTATGTTCGTTCTAATAATCATTCAGAGCAGTAGACAGGTAGAATATATATATAATTTGCTTATTATACGCTCAGAGAGGTTTTTGGAGTCTCGCTCTGTTGCCCAAGCTGGAGTGCAGCAGTGTGATCTCGGCTCACTGCAACCTTCGCCTCTTGGGTTCAAGCGATTCTCCTGCCTCAGCCACCCAAATAGCTGAGACTACAGGCATGTACTACCACACCTGGCTAATTTTTTGTATTTTTAGTGGAGACAGGGTTTCACTATGTTAGCCAGTATGGTCTTGATCTCCTGACCTAAGCCTCCCAAAGTGCTGGGATTACAGGCGTGAGCCACTGCTCCTGGCCCATTTGAAATATTCTTTTTTTTTTTTTTTTTTTTTT